TTAATTTTATTAACCCGGCAGTTGCTGGGGCATATTTCCTCAAACCACTTGCAGCTGGGGGGGGGGGGGGGGGCGTAACTCTCCAACGAATGGCCGCAGCGAGACGGGCCAAGCGACGATCAAAAGCTCTCAACGAGGCTCTTAAGGGAATTGCTTAAGCTTTGTTCTTTAAAGGTCGAACTTCAGGTCAAGGCCATGTCAGACTTAAGGTCAAGGTCAGGTCAAAGGTCAAAATTAGGTGTTTTCACCGTAGGCTCCAGAAACCGAACTGTCGATAGCAGCAAGCTCAAACTTTACTGGCATGTGCCCAAATGATGTTTAAGAGGGCTCATTATGTCATAAGGCAAAGTTAAGCACAGGTTAAGATCAAGGTCAGGTCACAAAAGGTCACAAAAAATCGTCAATTTTTTAATACCGTATGACATGTTTTTTGGGTAGTGTTAGATGTAGAACACGATGGTGAAAAGCATTTTGAAATTTGACCCCCGAAAATTGGCAAAAAAGTAAAAAGGGGTCAAAATTTGACATTTTCAAAACAAAGCATGTTTTCTGTTACAATTTCATCCCAGGATTTAAAAAAGTCATTTATTTGTCTGTGTGATCTCTAAAAGTGCCAAAAATATTCAAATAAAAATTTTAATTACTAAATATTCACTATTTAGGATTTTTAGGGCCCACGCCAGACGCCAGAGTCCCCTGACCGGCCAGGGCTCTCTGATAGTAGTCATCTGGCCGATCGGGATCCTATGGCCGACGAAGACCCTCTGACTGACCCGGGTCCTCTGACCCATCAGGGCCCTCTGACCGACCAGGGTCCTCTGACTGACTAGGGCCCGCTGGCCGAGCAGGGCCCTCTGACCGATCAGGGCCCTCTGACTGACTAGGGTCTTGTGACTGATCGTTCATCATTGTCCTCTCGCCGACCAGGGCCCGATGACCCCCAGGTAGGGGCGGCTGTCCCTGCCGCCCCTACCTTGGCTACGTCCCTGACTGTTTGTTGAGTCAGTGTTGATGAATCCCCTAGATTGTTACATGAATCAAGAGTCGAATCTGTCCGAAAATCCGAGTCGAGCACAGCCCTTCTGTCTAGATGACTTTCTTGATGGTGGCCGTAGTCGCGATAGCAGCACTACCTCTGCGAGTGCGGAGAACATGGTGTTTTAGTTTGAGTGCTCTAGTTTTCACAAGTTGGCTCGAAAATTCAGCAAGCGAGTGAAAACCGGAGGCTTGTCTCATGTGAGGTGTACTCTATCGGTGGTTAAATGTCCCATTGGACAGTATCGCGAACTTTCAATTCCCTTCCCCCTCCCTCTCCCTCGTTCACCCTAACCTCCCCGGCCGTCTTCTTCCCCCGTTCTAATACTTTTCTTTGGGTTTTAAGTTACAGTAGGTATCGTTTCTTTGTTTCAGAGGAGGGACTGCGACATCTGGCGACCATGGTCCACGAAGACTCTGGTTTCTGCACCACGGAGTGTGGCTGCGCCATCAGACGCGAGGAAGGAGGCGTGTCCGTGGGTGGTGTGCGGGTGGACATCCCGACTGCTGACCTGGCACAAAGTTTGACGACATGGGCGTTGGCACATGCGGTGTATGGTGTCCTGTTCGTTGGAAAACACCAGAAGATCGGGCAGCTAACATACAACCACATCTGTGGGTTCAGAGCAAAAGAGCATAGGATGGTGCGAAAACTACGCGAGATGCTCAAGTAACACCCTGCTCAAGTGCTCAAGTGCCGGTTCGGTTCTGTGGCGACGTTAGATGACGTTAGATCGGTGGTCAGATGACGGTGGCCGGGCGAGATGTTGTCGGGTCGATGGATGGACGGACGTTTAGCTTTGCTGAAGCATAGTTTAAATATAAGGAGCTACTTTTTGTTGCGTATGTAGAATCTGTGTGAACAGGAAGGGAGCAACTGGTTGAGTGGTGGGGCTGGGGGTATATGGGGAATGGATTATTGGTTTCTGTACGGGGGGTCAACGGAACAATATGGGGAGTTAAATCGGAAGTACAGGGGAGTCGCGCTGCTCTGAGTGACACCCTAATTTTGGGCCCTACACCCTGTCGTAGAGCCGCGGGTTCCCGTACGGGTGGTCAATGAAACAATATGGAGAGTTAATTCGGAAGTACAGGGGAGTCTAGCTGCTCTGCGTCACCCTAATTTTGGGGTCCGACACCGTGTGTGGTGGTAACTGGTCCCCGCATGGGGGGTCGGGAATAATTGAGGGGAGTTTTTTCGGAAGTATAGGGGAGTAGAGCTGCTCTGAGCGACTCCCTGCTGAAGGCACGCGGTTCCCCGCGTGGGGGTCAGGAACAATATGGGGAGTTATATCAGAAGAACAGGGGAGTCGAGCTGCTGTATTTTACACCCGAATTTGGGAGTTTGACACCCTGTCGGGTGCTTAGGGACCAAAAAGGGGTGCTCGGCTGATATTTGAGGGGTGTCACCTGGAGTCTAACGGAACCCCATGTGGGCCGGCGCTGACCCCCCTTTAGCGGCTGCGACTCCCCACTATGCGTCGAAACCCTCCTGGGGTGTACGCCAGACACCCCATTTATAATAGCTCAGCGACTCCCCTCAAAACACCCCACTCGGGTGTTATTTTTGACATGACCGTCAATACCCCGTACAGGGTGTCATTTTTTCTTTCAGTGCAGAAGTATTCAATCGGCCACAGCTGCGACACACAGGGTGGATTATCTTCTCGATCTTTCGTGGGCACGCCGACCCCCTCCAACATTGTGATGGTTTTAATTGCATAATGGACGAAAACTAGGTCAAATCAGAGTGCATAGTCGCCATTTGGGTAGTATTCGTCTTTTTTACCTTGGTGCCCTAAAAGATAAGAAATCAACGCATTTATTTGCCGTCCCTCGCGCTATAGAACATCCTCCCAATGATAACTCATTTTGGACACATGACTGGTAGCACCTCCCCTTCCGGAGAGGCCGTTTAGCCACATCAGTAAGCTGGAAACCGGTAAGAGACGTGTCCACAGGTTGCAGTTGTATCCCCCTTCACTGGATCATACAAACCGGCAATATATGACATATCTGTTCCTGGGTAAGTCAAACAGCTCTCGTCACCCATTATCATATCAATGCGTTCTCACCAGTTGACAGCTTGCCCCTGAATAGCCGACGCAAACGCTGTTATTCTCTGCGTTGCTGCGCTTGAGTGACCTCAGGTGCCTGTATGCACCTCCGGTACTCAATTGCACATTTTCTACAGCAAAAATTACGACATAATAGTGGCAAATATAGTGGCGTCACACCAGCAGGCACATTGACACCCCTCACCTTGCCCTTCGCACCCCATCGAAGGGGACCTTGTTTCTGTAGCGAAATTCGCAGAGTTGCAGCCACTTCAAACCTTTTCCAGCATGCTGAACGTTTCCTCTTATCTCAAATATCATAAGCATGCTGTTGGCACTTGGATAAAAACCTTTAACTTGCACTAGGAGAGCCATAAGTGCCATTTCCGTTGTAGAAAGGTAATTTTTCTTAAAATTGGCGAAGATTGCTTAGAACCGTTGTTTGCCTAACGTTCTCATGGCGACTGACCATGGTATTTAAAGTTTTCGTTTTGCGTGATTGACATTCGCAACAGACATGTCTTTCAGCATGCGAGATATGCAGCTTATGTATTACCTTTAAAGGTTCGTATTAACTGCCTGAACTTTTTCTCATTAATTAGTAGACACCCGTTAGCTCACAATGAGTCGATTCATAGTTGCCTTCCTATAGTTCCACCACAGGTGTGCACAGTACATCGATGAACAGTAAGTCTCAAATAGTTTCAGTTTGACATCTACAGTACACTTGTGAAACATCCTTATGATCATATTCCCTCTGACAAATAAACCTTTGTTCTGATTGGCAATATCTAGATTATCAGTCATGTCTTCCTCTATGATATGCCCAAGATATTTAACTTTATCAACACATACTTACGGCATGGGCCCTAACATAAAATCAGGTATTTTGACATTCCTCATCCCCTTCGATCTACATGACATTGCAACACTTTTTGAACTATTATACACAACATCATTTGCCATACCAAATTCATGGCAAACATTCAACAGTTTTTGCATCCCTGCACTTGATGGAGAGATAAGCACCACATCATCAGCATACATCAGGTGATTGACCAATTTCCGACCTATAAGACAACCTATGCCCATTTCATTTAATCTGCTAGACAACTCATCTATAAACATGTTGAAAAGGGGAGGTGACAAGATACCTCCCTGCCGGACACCATTGGACACTTTAAACTTTTCTGAAAAAGTGGATCCCCATTTAATGACCATTTCTTGCTCTTGGTACCAGAACGCAAGCAATCTTAGGTACACATAAGGAACACCTCTCTCTGAAAGCCTCTGAAAGATAATTTTATGATTAACACGGTCAAACACCTTGCTTGCATCAAGAAAACACAGATGGATAATGCTATTCATTGACTTATACTTTTCAACTATCTCTTTCAAAGTGTAAATGCATTGGTCTGTACCAAGGTTCTTTTTAAAGCCAAACTGGTTGTCCTGTGTCAACAAATAATTCTCAAGTCGTTTTTGCAGTACTACCTCGAAAAGCTTACTCACCATGTTAGGGGTTGCCACAGGTCTATAATTATTCATTTCGGTGATCGAAGCAGCTTTGTTCTTTACTATTGGAACAATGCTCACCGTCATCAAAAGACCTTGGGAGGAAACCATGAAGAAGGAAAGCATTGAAACACAAGCATAGTAATGTCACAAGCCTATGTGAAGCATGTAGGAGATGCTCAGGAGATATTTGATCAGGACCACCTGCCTTACCCTTTTTCAGCTCGAACAAAGCATGCCTGACCTCCTCAACAGTAACAGGTACTATTTACTGAGTCATGAGTCTGAGTACTGAGTCTGAGTCCATGCCAAATTGTAAAACAATGCCCCTTTGTGACTCCCTATGTTTTTACAATGGTATATGAGATGAAAATTGAGATTGATCTTTTTCAGCATCGGAAAAAGAACATAAGGCGATGCATCGCGGGAATTACACCGTAACTCGTCACCAAAAGGAAGGCGTCGCCGGAAATGGTCAGCGAGTGCTGCTAGAAAAAGGTAAAGTTATGTTTTTTATTTATTGAAGGCCTCTCCAATCATCACATATTGTCACTAAACAATTGCCGTTTTCACGACGGCCATCTGATACACATTTGGTGCAGATTAGGTGCAGGTTTGGTCCAGATTTGATCGAATTAGGTTCACTGTGTTTCTTTAAAGTTGTCAGTTTGGGTTGCACAGATACTTATACTTTAAAGTCCTCGTTTTTCAAATTATTAAGCATTATTTTTGATTAAAATACTGAAATAAACTCATAATATGAAGATATTTGTTTTAAAAGGGATTTGGTGCAAATTTGGTCAAATTAGGTGCATTCGCCAGGTAGCCCGTCGTGAAAAGGGCTAATATATTTCACCTCACTTGCAAACAGTAACACGTATGTCATAAAGATAATTGTCATGCACAGTCATCCGAAATGGATTCTTAAAATAATGAGCTGATTGGAAGCATGATATTCTGACGGTGTGATAAAAGAAAGTGTTGCTATTGCACTCAGTGTATGTACACCGATAATCAATGCCATCAGTTATTTTACTTTTGCTATGAATTATTGGTATGATCTGGTAGTCCCATGGGTGATTTGTCAGTTACTTATGTGCGCCATATGAGCTGAATTTGTCCGGCAGATGTGTTCCCGAGAATGTTCCGTCTACGAATCATCACGGCCGAGAAGTACCGCTGGAAGGAAGGATTCGCCGTTCTCAGTTACTTTGAAACTAGCACAGGTATGCGTGCTTTTGAGCCAGCTAAAACGGGAAAATAAACCACGCATGGTGCGATAGGCCGTCGGTGATATGGTGACCGTTGTATGACCCAGCGCCACCCCACACAGCCCCTCCGACGGGCAGTGCCCTCTGCAGCTCATCGGCAGCTCAGGTCACACTGCTTCATGCCCATGGCTGAGTCATAGACTTCAATGCATTATGTCAGGGGAATCATTATCATAGGTCTTGCGTGGTGTTGCAAGGTGGATGTTTCATAAAGTTCTAGCCTTTTGGTACCATTACACGGGAAGTCCGTTCCATTTTTCGATCTCGCGAATGCTTCTATGATGCAATATTTATGTAGGGATGCTTTTGTAAACATGAATGTCTCGAACATAGAAATGATGGCAATAAAAGTGTGTTGAGTTTTGAGAGGCTTTTGGCTAGCCACAAGACACAAAAATGCGTTTCGTGACACTTTGGCGCCATGTCTTCTTTATGCAACATGTTGTGTTGGACGGATGAGTGCGTGACCAACACGGCCAATCGTGTCCAGCTCCGTTATGCACACCCAGCGCCCTGTCGTGTACCCCGTGATCGTGCCGACGCGACGGTTGATTAGTGAAGTGGGGCTCCACTCTGGGGACCCAACTGTCCACAATGACCAGCGCTAACACTGGACAGTATCCTGAAGCAGTTTTGACTTCAATGTGGACATGACAAGCAGTCCTCCTTCCTTCCACGAAATTCCCCCCCCCCCGCCCCCTCCGGCGACTCAACACGCTCCCTTCCTAGAGCACTGGCACACTTTTTAAGCCTGCCGGTGAGCACATAAGGGCTGTACTCAGCACGACACACGCGCACGGATTCGCCGGAACACCTTTCGGCCTCGGTGGACACGCGAACGGTTTGCGTGGGCTTGCGACATGCCCACGCTCGGCCATGTACTCGATAGAGATTTACGACGAGCGGCGCCAGCGCGGCGCCTTCTACGGGCGATTCGACAGAGCCGTTTGTAATTATCGGGGTCGTATTACCACCGTTAGGATGGCGGCCAATGAGGCGTGCCACATTTGGGGACACTGGAAGAATAGTGGTAGGCTGAACCAAGGAAATCAGGTGGCCATCAAAGTGGTGATCAACGCCAGTCAGGGGGGCGCGACTAAGAGCATACATGCGCATGAACTTCCTGTCGTTTTACAGGCACTGGCGGGGACTCAATAAAGTCTCATTTCCTCTGATATCTTTTTCATCATCCTTAGAATGTAGGTACTTATTCTCTTTGCTCGCTAATTGCCTTTTCCGGGCTGACTCATCATTTCCAACGGTAATCGTTAGTGAAGGCTCATTTGAATTAATTAATTAATTTTCGAATTTTCGATTTGAATTGAGGTCGATTGGAACTCAATTCATGCTCATTTTCAACGGGATCAGTCAATGAGTGTGTTGGAATCTGAAAAATAAACCGTGGATAATTTCTGGTAACCTGAACATACCCTGACCTAAAAATCGATCGAAGTGCCCTCATTTTTTTGTGGAAGCCTCATGAACGCCGTCTGGTGCTTGCTACTACATATGTGTTGCCTGCATGAACAGCTATACAGATAAAACGTCCCCTTCCCATCAGGGAGTGCGGGAATTCAGGAGCGGTAGTAGGCTGCTAAATGAAATAAACATATCGTTTTAACCTTCGCCCCAGTGGGGGGGGGGGCATATGTTACCACCCAGTCGCGTTTTTTGCGTGTGAATAAAAAACCGCGGCGCGTAGCGCCGCGCCTGGGGGTAGCTTTTGGTACATTAATTTTGGACAATGTGTGAAATTTTTGACCCCAGGTCATGTCAGGTCAGGTCACCAGGTCAACTTAACTGACTAACCCTAAAAAAAGTTTGCAATCCTGTCCAGCCTGCAGTGTTTGTCAGAAAGGTTTTAAACTTGGTGGATTGCATGCTGTTATGGGCGCCTACAATTTGTATATCTCGGATTTTTTTATATCCGTGACCTAAGGTCAGGTCAGTGGCGTGACCTTTCCATTACAAGTCAATGGAGAAAAATGAAAATGCCTCTAGATCCGTGTGTACGCATAGGAACAGTCCAAATATTTCAGAATCACAATGATTTAGACCACTCGTGATGACCAAGGTGTCATTTTTGCTGATAGCCTCTAGAAAGGTCATCCGAGGTCATTTGAGGCTACAAACAGTTTTTTGCCAATCACTCGCGATTGGAAAGAGATAGAACGCTGGGGATGGTCTCATTGTGTTTGTCTTGTTGAGACGCATCGACTGATATGCAACATGACATTTTCCGGTCAGGTCATGACCTTGACCTGAGGTCAAATTTTCAAGTTGACCTTTCAAGGTCAAATTGTAGTTCATTCGACGCGTCTCGGCGAGGGGAACACGATTCTGGCAATAGAAATGTCGAGGCTTTTTGGAGTCGAAAGTTATTGTCGAAAAACACTTTTCGTAAAAACAGCTATTTTTGGAGTTTTTGCCCTCTGGAGGCTAAACCGTTGACCTGAGGTCAATTTGATAAAAACCTTATCAAAAGAAAAGTTCAAAAGCTATCGAGTGCTTTTCAATGCGTTTTTCTAGCTACCATAGTTCCTGAGATAGCGGCATGTTTTCTGAAAAATATAATGACAATTGGCAAATTTTGACCTTTGATGACCTCTGGTGACCCCAATCAGGGGCGGATCCAGAAAATCTCCAAGGGAGGGGCCATTAGAAACCAGGAGGCCCCCATATGTTGGAGGCCCCATCTTCCCACTTGTTGGGCCCCCCCCCCCAAAAAAAAACTGCGTCTATTGAGCTTATCTAGCTGTTCAGGCAACATCTCAACATGAATAGCCACTTTATTTTCAGGAGGCCCCCTTTTCAGCTTTTTAACTTTTTATTTTATTTTTGAAAAAAATCGGCCAAGGGGGGGCCATGGCCCCCATGGCCCCCCCCCCCCCCTTGTATCCGCGCCTGACCCCAATATTGCTCTAAGGTGAAAAATGACCAAAATACTTTCAAACGTTCGCATTGAGAGCTATCGACTGCTTTTTACCGCGTCTTTCTAGCCCTCTTAGTTTTTGGGTTAGAGGTGGGTGGTAACATATGCCCCCCCCCCCCACTAGGGCGAAGTTGGCTGAGACCGCCACTGGGGCGCGGGTTAATGTCTTACTGGAGAATCATCTTTTCTATAGGAAAAAACTAATACTAAAAAAAATACAGCCGACCATGGACAAAAAGCGTGGCTGATACCTCAGGCTGTCATAAGTCAGCTAGATCTTTGCCTACATGTTATCTATCGAGCACTAAGCTGCTTTCACAGATCTGTGTCACCATGACATCATTAGCACCGCTGACCGCTCTCCGCCGCGCCGGCCGGGGATGAGTGTCGGTCATTGGAACGACCGTTGGGAGATGAGGGTCGGCTGTTGAGAGAGTGACCTTCACCGGATGGATCGTAGCATTACCTCGGCCTACCCTCCACTTTAGTCGTCAGCTAAGGTTACCTGTAGCTGACGACCTTGGGTAAACATCTCTAACCTTTGAGTTAACTATGATGGTTTTGACTTTCCTCTACAGTATAGTTGAGCTGCCAGTTGCCACTTAACAATTTCATCATATAATGTACTACCTGTAATGCACCTGTTCGAGTTATTTCAATCCAAAATCAATCACGACACTGATGTGCTGAACTCATCGCTCAATATATGTATATCATATGTATATCATGTAAATATATATGTAGTATGCGCACTTCGTGACGTCAGGATAAAAGTACTTGCTCAGCTCCCTCGATTTCTTTTCGGCGCCACCATGGCTAATGCGTTCTGGAAATGATATATGTAAAGTGAAAACATGTTTGTGATTTGTGTGAGATGAAAAACAAAAATCACTTCTTTTTGTTATGATCAGGCAGCGAGAACCATGGACCTAAAAGAAAACACTTGTTGGTCAGCGAAGGGTCACCTGAAGGTGACCTCCACGTCGCCACCAGTCCCTGACCGCGGCACCACGACAGAGTGGTCAAGGAGCACGTCTTATAGAATGTCTTGTTGACCGACGTGACCTGGTGGCGCCAGCACCCGAAATAAGACACCGGCACAGCGACCACCGAGTAACTCAGCCGGTGTGACACTGGCCGCACAGGAGGTCCACAGGATTGTGCTCCGCGACACACGTCCCCGGCTCACACGCTCTCTGCAGTTTAGATGTTTTGCGGCAGTCACGAGAAGCGTCTGCTCCCGCTGGGATTTCTTCCTGCAAAGGTCGAACAGCGGGCAGCGCCAGCACAGCGTCCTTGCTCGTGTGGGGATTAACAGTGTCCAGAGGAGCCAGCAGGTGTTGGCGCAGTTACCAATAGTTATGTAATTTCAAAGGTCAAAGGGAGGAGGCACCGAATACCAATCGCAGAACACATTGCCGAGCAGTTGGGCGTCTCTCTGAATCTTTCAGCATATCCTCGGTCTCTGGCTACATCAAACTTTGCTTTTAAAACACCTGGACCAGTTCAATATGTTTCCAGCATTCAGTGGCCACGCCACCCGGTGGCATCCATTCACGATCGCCATCGTCCCGGACGGCGGCCGTCGGTGAGCAAACTCCCGCGACCGGGGGCCGGCGTCGGCGGCGACGGCGGTCGGCAGTTGAGACCGACGCTGTCGGAGGACGGAGGCGTCCGGTACCGCGCTCCGCCGGGGAGAGGCGATCGGGTGGAGTGACGGGTCGGATGGTGCAGGTTTTGGTCTGTGCGGAGAGTGGTGATTGGCGATCTGTTGTTGGTGTGACTAACATTGATGATAGGCGAGAGCAGCGTATTGTGGTCACCTATATTTTGTTGCACGGTAAGTAAGAATGACGTCGAATAGATATTCGAACACAAACTCTACATATATACTTAGGTGTTACAATGCAATGACCGTATTTAATGCCACAAAAATGTACTTTGCAACAGAAATCCATGACAGAATGGTCGAAAAGAATTCCATCTAGGATGCTCTATAAACATAATTTCGAAACGCAGTTCAGGATTATCTAACCAAACGTGTTTGGGCCAATGTTTTATGTTGATAATGATATGAGTGAATTCAGTCACATTTGTTCGAGTCGGACAACTTAGTTTGTAGGTTAGTTTGTGCCTGAAATTTTTTGGGAAATATGGTTTTTATATAATTGATTTAAACAGCAAGATATAACCTTGTATCATACCAAACAGCGGAGCAATGCCTTATGGCTGTAACTCGGTGCAGCGTGGAATGTTATGTGGGGAAAATGTTGGTATACGCAATACACATACAATACAGTGTCAAACATATAAATAGTGTGTTTCCCATGCCATGTTAACTACTAAACTCTGTTAAGTCTGCCTAAAATTGATAAGGCTGGGGAATTATTGTGTTGCCTTAATCTACAACTGACTACAGTTGTACATTAATGATGTTCTACAGAATCATGTTCTACAGAATGATGACCACAGAAGTGTGTCACTCAGCCCGTGTGATGCGACACAGCCTACCAGGTCAGGCAATTGAAAGCCTGCGAAAAGTAGAACATCATTATGTATTGAACTGTGCATATTCCACACCTCCATAGCGTAGTTCGTTACATGTGGATTCATGCTTTTTTGTCATAAAAATTAATGGACTTTGAAACCTAATAAATACAAAAACGGGTAGACAACCAAAAAGTATTATTGAGTTTTGTCGCCTTGCGGTGGTGGAAAATATTACATTTCATGCGACACAATTGGGCACGCGAAATGGAATGGCTGAACATCGATCATCCCAGGCAAGTTGGACGTCCGTTATTGGTTTGGCCCGACGTCCAAGCCATGCGTCAAATTCTACGACTAAGATTTATTGTAAAACACTTTAATGGGACTTGTAATGAGCGGTGGTACAAATCTCACACTAATTGCTGGTTACAAAATCAGAAAGTTGTGCGAGCTGTGAAATGTGGCGCTGTAAAATGGCCGCACGGGGTCCAGTTTTCGCCGGTCGGCGGACGTCCGGTTCGGGTGTCATGACCGGGCCGTTGACATGAAATACGCCACCACTTATAAGGTGCTGCCAATACGCTGTGGAGCTCAGCTCGAGCGTGCCATTCAGGCACAATGCGCGATTGAGTTAGTCTGAGAAGTTTGCCATTCGAGGAAGTCCAGAGAGCTGGATGTGTAAGGGAGCGACGGTGCGGAACTTGAACCGGAACTGCAGCAACAACGACTGGGATGGGGCGGACCCGCGGAAAGGTCTGTGTTTCGGACGTTGGGTGAATATGGGTAAATGTCATTTACGAGTTGAGTGACACGTGTTTGTCGTAAGGACCCCTGAACTTCTCTGGTTGGTTGGAAAGTATCTGTGGAAACAATGCACCGAGGAGACGTGCGCACCCTAACGACCTCCTCTCCGCTTTGCGGCCATTTCACGTTCACCAACCGTTATAACATACTTTCATGGCTCTTCCTGATAGATCATTGCATTTTAACGGTCACTTACACTGATATTTCGAAGTGAAACAGGCTATTTGAGGGATCTGTATTGAGGCTGAGGTTTACTTGCAGAGTTAGGTCATCAAAACTCGCTATTATATTGGGATCACACGCTCCGATCAGCACTCAGCAGCTAAACAGACATATCACGGACACTGGCCGGAGTCGTGATAGGTGCACTCATGGCAAATGGCTCATCTTTTGTGTGAAAAGAGCCGAAATCTCTCACCTTTTTCTTTAGTCAGCAGTCAGTACGCATTCCTTTTTAGGAACAGCTACTGTACAAAGTTACGATGTAAGTACATTTTACAGCACTTTTCAAGCCACTATGATAATATCAATGCTGCTGTATCTCAATATGCTCACAAGACGTATCGGCTGGAAGAGTTTTAAATAATCTAAGCCGGCCTTAGCAGGCTTTGACAGGACCAAAATGAATGTCCCGCCTCCATTCTCGCTGCTCTCCACATGTTTTGGGGGTACTGCAGTGAAATGTAATGCGTGTTCCTCGGGAGAAACGTATTTGATTGTATATCCAAGTGTGTTGTAGTACTTGGGGCGGATGGCTTATTCGGACTGATAATAAGTGGGGATGTACTGAGTCGGAACCGGAGCCGGAGCCGGAGCAGCCGGAGCCGGACCATTTTACTCTGAGCCCGAGCCGGAGCCGGAGCCGCCATGACATTTCACCCGGAGCCGGAGCCGGAGCTGGAGCCGATTTTTTCCTCCGGAGCCGGAGCCGGAGCCGGAGCCGTCTGGAATTTTCACGGCTCCGCATCCCTGATAATTACTCTTGCATCCAGTTATTCACCCAAGTAGATACTTTGTGAAAGATGATAAACGGGTGGCATTCATCGCAGCAAGCTGTAAAGATAATGATTTGAATAACAGTTCACACGTCATTTATTAAAATTCACCGTACATACAGACACATACAGACACGTCAGTTCGTCTGCTTTGCCCTCGGATGAGTGTATGCAGGCGCATGACTGATGGTTTGCGCTCCGCGGATTTCAGCAGCGTTTCTCCGTCGTGAGATTCTGGGAGTGAGTCGATGGAGCTGTCTCGGAGGCTCAGAAACCGGAGACAGCCTCACTAACCCCGGAGACAGCCTCACTAACCCCGGAGACAGCCTCACTAACCCGGAGACAGCTTCACTAACCCCATGGCCCGGCTGCAGCCCGGGCCGTATTCATGTATTCCTCGGGGCCGGCGCGTGGGCCTTCAAAATGAACCAACAGCGAATCCCACTCTCCGAAAGTCTCAGAACCGCTCCAGCTCACGGCCGCTGCAGAATTATTCATGCCAAAGCAAAGGAGTCGCACTTGATTTAAAACAATCCAAGTTTGTCGGCCGCTGCCGACTGGATTATAATAATATTGGCAATGACGGATGCACTAAAGACATCAGCAATATGATTATCGCAAGCACGTTAACAAATTGCCTCTATTTTTCAGAGCCATCGTCCGCGAATAGCGCCAGGATCACTCCTGTCAGCTCATCCATCAGACGACAGGGAGGCTCTGCACCCCGACAACCGTATACGGCTGGTGCTGATGACCTGTGTGAGACGAGCCTGTCACCTGCGAGCTTCTCTGACCTATTGGCGGAGTCCATACGAGCTGAAAATCACAGCTTGTGTAATGGCTGAGAGCTGGCGCTTCTAGCTCAGCGGCAGTGACTGAGTGTCGGGGATTTCATTTCAGCAAAGTGACTGAATGACTAACGCGACGTGCTGTGACTGGGTATCGTCTCGCTGAGCCTGGTGCAGTGACTGAGTTAGCTCTGATTTCGCTGACCGGTGACTGGAGTGCTGATTTATTCTGTGGGTGACTGACCCAAAGACCATCCACTCAACGAGCGAATATCAGTGTTAACTTCGCGGAGTGGCGGCAATCTCCACAGTCGGTGACTCGCGGCCTGTAGGGGCTGCTCGATGGTGCGAACCGCGTGACCCGGCCGACTGCGGAGGTCACTGTGGGTGACTTACGGCAGCTGCAGCGGCCGACACGGAGAGAGTGCTGCCGGGAGATATGGCCTCACCACTGGGGACTGCAGTCGGCTGGCTGGTCTCCTGGCTGCTGTTACAAACTGGCATGACACTCTGGGAAGGTGAGTCGAGCATTCGTTTTGAAAAAGAAAATAGGTTACTTTCATACAGCTTACGAGCAGTATCGTGAAGAAACATACCTACATTGTACGCAAATGAATTCACATCATGCATGCCTTGTGTAAAACATTGATATGATTTGCTTAATGACATGCTTCCTGAGCAATCAATCCCAGCGTCTCAATAAGCGTTTGACCTCGGCGCGAACGGTGCCACCATATCTGCATTAGCTCATGGTTGGCTGTGTGGTATCGATGGTCTGGCAAGAAGTCAAAGGACCGCACAGTGATCCAAGGACAAAATTAGCGTCTGAAAGCCCTCGCACACAAAGGGAGTACGCAGCCATGAATGAATCATCTTGTCAAACTAAGTCATCTTGTCAGCAAAGCGATGCAATGACCTGAACAGTGAAGAACTTGCAAAAGATTAAAAAGCTAATTTGTTTGTGTTCTCATAAAATAAAATATAAGAACGCAGTAGAGCATTTTACTTAAAACTGATATTTTAGTACTTCGTGTTTTTTTTTCTCAAAACAATCTGTTATGTGCTTTTAATAAATATAAATGTAAGGAACAGTTCAGCTTATTTTGTCGGAGCTTACTGAACTGCATTCAACGCTAAATAGACGGATGTTTACAGTCGCAATGTTTGCCAACTCAAAATGTTCTAAATATCTCTAATCAGTTACCGCCACGGGCTAAAAGCGCGCTCTCGGGCAAATATGCACAGGCAGAGAGCGCCCTACTCATTTTAGTTTGCATGCTCTCTCAAACGATACTTACGAATAGCAGCAGCGTTGCTGCACAGGAGGTATTTGGCCCAAGTTTTTTTTTAGAAGTGGCAATGATTTATATTATATGTCGGCTTATAACCTTATAAATACACTTCACGGCGCAAACAATTTCTCATCGCTACTGACTGATGCTTTATTGCATTCATCCAAGTACCGAAAAAGAACAATAACACGCGCTACCATTAGCCGTTCATCTCATAGTACAGTCTGGGGATCGGGAGACGTTATGGAGTTCCTCCCTCACCGCTGGGCGACCACTCCGGTTCCTGCCATGGGGGGCGGAACGGGGAGGGCACCGGGGCACCGTGCCCCCTTTGATTTTGGCAGTTTAACATTGGCCCTAAGGGCGTTGAATGGAAAGAATGGGACGAAAAGTCGGCAATACCCCCCCCCCTTAAGTGAAGGTGTCATCCGCCGCTATTGGTTCCTGCGGCGTCACGGCCTGTCATCACCAGTCGCCGTAGTCACAGTCCAACTGTCATCACCAGTCACCGCCGTCACATTTCCGGCGCAGTTTGGCACTGATCGATGGATGGGTCAGCCGACCGCCCTGGCGCCGCCGCATCCCGCGGAACACGGCCTAACGAGCCGTGGTGCATGCAGCGCCACGGCAGACGCCGGGATTGACACTGGTGACACGGCAGCTGACACCGAGAGTGACACCAACCGCTAGAGATGACACACTTGATGCTGACCACTACCACGGCTATTAGCTATAAAAAATCGCACACTGCTCAAAAGGAATTGGTGCAATAACGATACCACCGAAGCATTATCTGTGATTGCAGCAGCATTCTCAAAAAAATAATCACCTTATTCCCCGCTGCTCTCCATCGGTAGTGCACCACAAGCTTATAAAGGCTACCTATAGTCATTCAATTTTTTCCTTTCTTAGCCTCTGCCCCCTCCCCCCCCCCCCCCCACACACGCACGCTCAGCACCCGTGTCCTCCGTTCCGACGTGACCTGAGGAATAGACCTGCGACGATTGGTTCCCGGCCAGGTCACCGGCCCGGCAGTAACTTACCGTCTGTCGTCGCCATCTCAGACGTCGATTTATACGCAGCACTGGTCGGTCCGATAACTGCACGGTACTGCTGTGCGTTGGATCGGGGCCAGCAGCGCGAGCGGCGGTGGGGGGGGGGGGGGGGGCTAGTGTCCGGCCAGGGGGTTTGGACGGACCACCACGGCCAACTTGACGGACCGTCACAGCAGACACAATCTGCTACTAAGTTCGGCTGGCTGACAGGCTCAGCTGTCAATGGATGTGTAACTTTGTCTCACAGTTGCGGTTTATTGAGAGGTGATTTATTCATGGCCGGTTGGAACCTGACCGGTATTGACGTCAATGTCTAAAATGGTCCAAAAGTGGTTGTCAAGTGGCTTCGTTATTGACCAATCAGTCTAATTTGACAAAAACGATAGACGCAGCAACAAGTTATATATTTCTTTCCATTATATCTGGGCTTGAATTTTGACTAAATTGGCGTTAATTTCACAATGTGTGACATTTCTTTATAATGTTGCAACCTCTTCCACCGAATAAATAAACTTTGATGCGATCAAAAAGTGTTTTGATTCCTGAGTTGATTTCTTTCTGAAATAAATGAAGGGGCTTTGCACTAAAATGACAGCTAATGCAACCATTAAATACAGCAGCACGACAAATATAGGAATTAGGATAACATGCATATAGCTCTAGAACAACATGCAACACCGAAAACATTGTGAACTAATATTAAATGCAGGAATATAAAATGATGCTATAAGGGCAGCAGCTCATTTAGATTACTGCCCGAAACATAAAACACTACCACTCTGAGCAGGCATTCTCCGTCAGTCTCTGATAACGATACGTAGCCAGCTGGAGCCGGACTCTCAACGCCAGCCATCTCAGTTGACGAGTGCCCTTCAAGCACCTGAAGCACTGGGGGAGGACGAATCGATGGATGATCACCTTCCTAGGACATGCGAAAATAAACAAAAGAAATATTTCATACTGTTATGCCAAAATACTTTTCCACAGCTTACACATACTGACTGGTATAAGAGGACTGTTGTGGAGCAGTTAATGTCATGATTGACGCATCCAAATCTCGCGGAATGGACCAACATCATTTTCCGCATCGGATTACTCAGCACTGAATTTCAGCCGGCTGTTAGCCTGATGCCGCCTACTGTGGCGCGGAGTTTATGCCGCGTCGAAAGCTGCTAACGAGCACGGGGGCCTTGTTAACCTGATGAACGTTCCCTTTGCTCCCTCCCAAGTGTCCACAAGTGACCCGTCACCCCAATACGGGGTCCGTGCCGACCATCAACAGTCACCACCCATGAAGGGCAGAGTCCCGCACTGTCAACTGTCAGGATTCGTGTGTGTGTCGGACGATGAACCGAACGCTCTTCCCTCTCTGAAAAAAAAAATGTTCAGAGGAGGAGCTTGGACACGATTAGGAAGCTCTGGGCAGTGTTGACATCTGTCATAAGACAATTGTGACGCGATCGGTGTTTTTCTGCGCAGGTGCCGTTGCGTCATCTACGTCGGTGCTGCGTTCGTCACTGCGCCTGCCCTCGGGGCCTAAACTGCTGCTGCAGCACTCTCCAAACGTCACAGCGCCGCTGAACGGAACGGCGATTCTCAACTGTCGGATCCGACACATCGGAGCCAGACAGGTGAGGTTGCGGCTAGACAGATTGGCACACATGTCAAACGGTGTATCTCAGGTCAGGTTAGTTGCGAATTTTGCGTCAGTTTACAAGTCATGTCACAGGTTAGACCATAATTCAGGTCACATGTCACATATCAGGTCACAGATCAAATTGCAGGTTCCGTCAAAGGCCAGGTCACAGATCAAGCCACAGATACGGTAACAGGTTAGGTCATAGGACAGTTTACAGACCAGATCACAAGTCAGGTAGCAAGCCCGTCGGTCTTGGTCTCAGTTGTAGCATTATGCCACGATAATACGAGTATTTAGGTGCTGATGTTTAGTCACATGATTTGGGTGATATCTTCGGCCCACGTGGGGCAAAGCGTGGACAGAACAGAGAGGCTTTATGTGAAGTAAAACTATACGTCTTCAAAGGTGGCCTTGATGTCTAAGAATAAAACAGATAGCTCATCACACCGGCGGCTATATGCATGGCTATACGGGGAAGCTCTTTTGTTCTGTTGCGATAGCGTAGAGGTCATGTCACCAGCAGACTCGCCGGTGACAGCTCGGTACGGGCAGCCGACAATTTGGTCCTTCCGGCCGGGCACTGTCTCGCTAGAAATGGACAGAGCGGCGCGTAGATTAAGTTTGTCCATAAATTTGTTATCGGTCGGTCCGCCGTCCAACGATTTTACGTTGTCACGTGTTAGAGCTGACGGGCTCGTAAATTTATGAGACAAGCTGTAATTAACAAGTTAGCGAAGAAATCATTACCACTTTGCGTCGTCGAGAAGAACTGGTGAATCTCTTAGATTGCAAGTCACGGATGTCAAATATCCCATTTAAGGACAAAATTGTAAAAAAAAACTTTTAAATGGTATGATGAGATTGCGGTGAAGTGGGAAAGAGATTAAAGGTAGTGTGCCACCTTTGAAAGATTTCCCATTTTATTTTTCCTAGGATAAGAAGCTTCTGTTTTTACCTAATATCGCAAAGAAAATCAAAAATGGGCCTGGAATAGTGCCTTTTTCGCCTAAAAGTTTATCGGTTTTTCGATATGTATAACAACTGTAGTGGGCTGACCTGCAAACAGGCGTCGGCAACAATCGCGAATGCGGCGCACATGTGACAATAAGCAAAGGTCATTATAGAGTTACGACGTACGGGAATGAGTTATCAGCTGTCTAATCGTAGACAACACAATGTCGAGCCTTAAACTGTAAGCCTGTATTGGTATTGTTTCTTTTATTTGGCTGTCGAACATTATTTATGGTTTGAAATATGATTTTATGTAAAATAATTGATATGAAAAAGCCGTCTCTTAAGTTATGACCCCATTTCACCACACGCAAGTGGCAGAAATGACAATGATCAGCTGACGCATTTTTCTTGGCCGAAGTCAGAGCGCGCGGCCCGACGCACCACCACCGCACCACAAAGTATGAGCAGAAGCCGCGCCCAAAGCCAGGGCCCCGGTAACGTGAGGTAGCCGAGTCGGGGCAGCGTGCGCTGACCCAAGCCGGGGCCGCAACTTTGGGCGCGGTCCACCGCATCCCCGCGGGCAGCCCCGGGCTATCACATGACACCGGGAGGACGCGCGGCCCCGGCTTGGGTCAGCGCACGCTGCCCCGACTCGGCTAACTCACGTTACCGGGGCCCTGGCTTTGGGTGCGGTCTACCGCACCACCTAACAGGCGTGTTCGAAACCGCAGGAGATGATGATGAACGGGTTTATCGACACTTGATTGGATGAGCATATCGGTAATAGCGATTTCAGTGTGTGCATTTATTGTTCATAGTGGTGTGAAATGTGGTTGGGGTACGACCGACAACCCGTCGGGGCGAATTTCGCACTGGGGTACTCAAAATTTGAAGAATTTAAGACGTTTCCATGAGTTTTGAAGGTACGGATAACTGATAAGTTCTAAAAATCCGGTTCTCCTTATCTGGGCCATTAACTCCATACGGTCCAGGAAAGCTGGCACACTACCTTTAAATGTTTATTTACGCTTATTTTTTTACATCACAGAGCATCCAAGTCTCATGGAACCTCGATGCAGCCGTTAGGCGATAAAAATCGTCACACGATTAGGTACCCGAAGCACCCACTACTTCACCAATGCCGCTCACGTCCTCCCTCGTCATTCAACGCACTGCTTCATCATGGAGAGTGAAGGCTTCGAGCCAATCCGGCGCGCTGCCTTATGAAGCCATCCGAGCCTATGTCGTCGGAATTAGAACTCTTTTGATCCTCGGACGGTTGCACATTCGTTATTTAATCTGGCGTTAGTCAGCGTCTGCCATTATGGTCAGGACAATGAGGCTATTATTCACTACTGGGCCATCAGTAGAGGCAGCAAAGCAACACAGACGGCCATTTCGGTACTCTGCGGGCCTGCTTTATTAGCAGGATAGTCCTGTTTTCAGCTCCCGGCAGCGCCTTATATGTCCAAGAGAGCAAAATTGCTATTTGCATACACCTGCAGCTTATTAATTTGCAGCTGTGCAATGATTGTCGTCTGCTTTTATTCCCTCCATTTCTATTAGTAGGAATGTTCACTCGGGCAGTGACGTTGCCAGAGTGCTCTTTGACGAACTCGGGCGCGACAGTTAGTTTTTTTCCTGTGGGGGATTGAACTATCGTGTACCCGTAGAAGATTGTTTTACTTTAAATCATTGTTTGAAGGGCTAGCTCAAGAAATGTGCCATTGTATATGGATTGATGCAAAACATCCCTGAATCAAAATTCATGATACAGATGCGCGACACGATAACGTTTTTGAGACAAACACGAATTATTGAACGCAATACAGAAATTATGCTCGAACTACAAAGCATACCCCTCCATAATCACTATCCATGCGGCCATTAACTCAACCGTAAACATTTGCATAATTAAGCAAATTACACGTGTTTTTTTAACCGTAGCAGAGGACAGTATAACCAATAACTATGAAGCAGGCATTGGCAATCGGCCGACATTATTCTGCCCTGTCGTGCGACGTTGTGTTTCCATCCGATTCCTCTCCTCCTGACCCTCTGACCCCGTGCCCCTCAGGTGTCCTGGGGTCGCGACATCGAGGTGCTGACCGGCGGCTTATCGCGGTTCACTGACGACCGCCGGTTCCAGCCGCTGCACCAGGAGTACAGCCAGGACTGGGGCCTGCGCATACTGTCCGTGCGGGCCTCGGACGCCGGCTGGTACTTCTGCCAGATCAGCACGTCGCCGCCCGTCTCACATCAGATCTATCTGAATGTAGTGGGTAAGTGATCGCAAGAGCAAGGGTAAAACTTAGCTAGTGGCCTAGTCGGACATTCAGCCTGAAACCATGTCCTAAAAAAACGATCAAATCGTGTATAAAAGCCATCTTTTTACCGTTCTTCTGGACGGAGAAGGCCTGATTGTGACCGAGGTCTGCGAGGTTGCTGCATGGGTTATAGTTTCACAACGTGCAATACCTCTAACTGCGTCGTCATCACATCCGGTCAATTATTCCAGGACCAGCTAAATTTGTTTACCTAACCGCGTGTTTGACCTACGAGGTGGGCAATGGGCATTCACCCAGTCCCTGGAAGAGTTTAGGCTGAACGATTCTTAGCGCACTATATTCCACCTATTTGATTGATTAGTCAGTATGAATTTTAATGACGATGCTGGTCATAGTGAGTGTCATTGCAATGAAAAGTTACGACATTCTGATAATGGCAGCAAACAGCGCTCAGCCGCTTAGTGCAAGTGGTATTGAGCCGTCAAGGTCCCCAATACAGCAGTGGCCAGTGGTATTTCGGAACTCCATGCCACATTGCCACAAGCAATGAAAATGGTGGTGAGCGCTCGTCACCGTCTTGGTATTTTTACGATAGTGAATGCTGACATTGAGACCATGGGATGCCTCAGAAAGCCAGGCAGTGCGAGACTGTCGCAGTTATTTGGAAGCATTGTTTTCATCGTCAAGTGACGGGCACTTCCCTGCACACTGGCGGATCCAGGGGTTCAGCGCGGGGGGGGCATACCAGGTCACGGAGCCAAACCTAGGGTACCCCCAAATCCTGTTTTCTCATCGGATTTAGGCCACTTATTTTTCGTCATAGCCCTGATACGAGTTTTTTTTCTAAAAAAAAAAAAACAGAAATGGTAGGACACCTGACCCCCATTGGCAGATCCAAGAGGAGGAGGCTTTTGGGACAAATACCCGGGCAGCGCCAGAAATCGACGAAAATTGGTGGGGCCGGTGGGGCCCTCAGCCCCTCAGAATGACTGGTGTATAGAGCCGACCCAGGGCCGCCGGTGTGGAACCTTAAGAGGTACTGGCGTGGGACCATCAAAGGTATCGGTGTGGGTTCCCCAGAGGCAGTGGTGTGGGGCCCTCAGAGGCACTGGTGCAGGAACCACAAAGGAGCCGGTGTGGGCCCTCTAAGGTGCTGGTGTGAGGCCCTCACATGGACGCCGTTGTGGTGCCTCAGACACTGGTGTGGCGCTAAGCCCACACCATTCACAGATGGCTGTGTGTGGGGCCCTTGGAGTTGTTGGTGCGAAATGCGAATGCTTAATAACCCAGTAGGACCTCTCAGAGACCGACAAAGGGCCCTCAGAGGCCGGTAACGGGCCGTATGATGCCAACAATGGGCCTTCACAGGCCGGCAAGTGAGGGCCGGCAGTATCTTCAGGAGCCCTGTGGAGTCCTTAGAGATCGGCATGGTACTCTCAGACGCCGGTGGGGCCCTCAGAGTCACCGGTGTAGGACCTACAGAGTTATCGGTGGCTGGCTGCCAGAGGCACTGGTGTGGGGCCCCAGAGGCGCCGGTGTGGGACCCTCAGAGTCGCCGATGTGGGCCTCAGGAGACACTGGTGTCTCAGAGGTGGCGGTGTAGGGCCATCAGACGCGTCTGTGTGGTGCCCTCACAGTCGCCGGTGAAGACTTTCAAAGGCATCGTTGTGGGAGTCCTCACTCCTCAGAGACACATGCATGGGGGCAAGGGGTCTTCAAGAGACCAGCAAGGGCCAGCAGAGGGTTTCAGGAGCCCTGCGGGATCCTGGAGATCGGCGTGGTACTCTCAGGCGTCACTGGGAGCCCTCAGACTCACCAGTGTGGGGCCCACAGAGTGCAGGTAGGTAGCCGTCAGATGCGCCTGTGTAAGACCTTCAGAGGCGCCAGTGTGGGGCCCTCAGAGCCGCCGCCGATGTAGGGCCTTAAGAAATATTGGTGTTAGTCCCTCAGATTGGCGGTGTTGGGCCCTCAAAGGCGCCGGTGTGAGACCCTCACAGGCGCCGTTATGGGCCCTCAGAGACACTGGTGTGGAACTGTGGAGCCGTTCCATGCGGGTATGGGCCAGGACCCTAATTAGAGCTGACGCTTAATAGGTCAGCAAGGTCACTCAGAGGCCAGCACAGGGCCCTCAGAAGCCGGAGTGGGGCCCTTATGGAGATGTGTGATGTGTGATGTGATGTGTGATGTGACTCAGGAGCCCGTGACTCTGTGAGGTGCTCTCACGAGGCCTGCGGGTCTTATCTCAGTCGAAATAAGGCACGCTTGGACCCTGAGCGGCCAATTGGCACTGCAGGGCCTCTCGGGCCCATAGGGCACCATGCATCAAATGAGGCGGCACGCGCCCCTTGTGCCCCCCCCCCCCCCCGGTTACGCTGCACTGGCTGCGGCCATACAGGTAAATCATATTCTAACCATCCCTATTCCCAAGCATAGGCGGCGGCCGATTCCTGCATGGTTTGCGCAATATGAGTGCCATCGTTAGACAATACGGTCAAAAGGGTTGAAGCGGCATGACTCCCCTGTGGTTAGAACTAAGAAGCAACATATTTTTAGACAAAATAAAGCAATGACAACTAAATTAAGGTTACTAAAACCAGTGGCGCGGGAACCGGGGGGGCTAGCGGGGGCTGAGCCCCCCCAGCCGAAAAGCTGGGGGGGGGGGGGGGGGCTCGTAATGTATTTGAGCCCCCCCCCCCCAGCTGGAGGAATCGAAATCGGAAATCTACCAAAATAATTTCATAGATTCATACATAGGCGCGGGAACCGGGGGAGGGGGCAGTGGGGGAAGCTTGCCCCCACAACTCTGCGGCCGTGGGGGCAGTCCCCACAACTTTTCATGAGGCCAGGAACCGTTGGGCAGCTTGTCCTTCCCAAATTAGGGGTTGTGGGTCACATAGGAAGAAAGCATGTAAGTGAAAAATCCACCTCTTTCACTGGCTCGGCAACTCATTTGACAGATTAAAACCTTTACTCCAGGTTGCCAAAACGGTAGTTTCACTGTAAAAAAAGTTTAGCACCATAGAGGTACTTTTCAATTGACTAATTTTCAGTACCCTAGCGGTGCTAAGCTAAGCATTTTATTCGTACTTAACTGAGATCTAGTTTAGTATCAAGGTGCTAATATAAGTACCCATATTTGTTTAGCACCCGTGTACTAAATGTAGTACCCTACACCTGCTAGACCAATTTTCAGTACCCTAGCGGTGCTAAACTTTAAAAGGTGCTAAGAATAGCATGCAGTTAGTACCTTCCGTACTCACATATGAACCGTTTTAGCGCTATTGTTACCCCACGACAAGTAGAATAATGCTAACGAAAGCATTGGGGCTGAAAGTAGAATATCTATACTAGTTAAAGCTGCTGCATGAAAAGTTCGCAAAAACTGCTTTCTTTAGCAGCACATACTTTCACTAGTTACTGCAAAAAGGACTATCAATTACCAAAAAGGAAATTGTGTAAGGCCGAAAAGACGTGCAAAAAAGGTTATATCCTAGATAAGTGATAACTACAAGTCTCAATGATTGTGTTTTGCATTCTGCAATATTCCCGTGTAAGTGCATCTTTCAAGCATCCAACACATTATAAAATTGAAAAATAATAATGGAACATTTATTAACACTTCATATCATCTGCATGAAAAACAAATGTAAATATATACACAAACAAACGCACGGGAAATAACGAAAGGTCGCTCATATACCTGCACACTCGCAGTGACCGACGATTAACGCGAGATCGACTGGGGGAGGCGGTGGGGGGGGGGGTCGTTGAACCGACGTTCCGTTCATGGCCATAAGTTCGACCTCATCCACGACCAGACGGCGTTTAGTGATAGACGGAACCGGAGACCCCGTGTTGTTGTCGTAGTTGTCCTCCATTGTAAGTGGTAGTCGACGGAAGAACTGACCAGGCCCCATGCCTGGAGCAAAAAAAACTGGATCAGTTCCAAGATTTTTTCTGTTGGGAGCTATTTTCGCAAACAACACAACTTTCCTTCAGACCAAGAAGCGCGATTTACCAAAGTCGGAATATGAAGCACTTAAACAATATAAGATAATGTCAAAAGATACAACGTGTCAGACTCACCAAAGTCGATCAACGTCGGTGTCGGTGGCATGTGTCGGTGGCAAATGCTCATGTACCACCCGGCCCCGGAGCACTTCACTTCACTTCACTGCACTGCTGCACTGCACTTCCCTCCACCTCACTGCCTCCCGGAGCAGGAGCACGTGCACTCCCATGCCACGCACGACGGATTCCACCGATAGCTGATTTAAGCTATCATTCCAGAGCTATCACTCGGTGGCATGTGCCCGGAGCACTTCACTTCACTTTATTTCACTTCATATACCGGAGCACGTGCGCACACTCCCACCACGACCAACGGACTCCACTAAAATGGCGTAACACGTGGCCGGAAACAGCTGGCACGCGCATGCGCATATCGCTCTGCGCCGTCAAAACGTGCTAAAGGGCTGGTGATAAGACTCCCAGAGATTTGTAAAGCAGGGCTTAGCTACTTTCTTTGGCGCCAATTTCAAATTTGTTTCCTCTGTAAGCATGTCCGGTTCTATTGTGATACTAACGTAAGCACCATATTCAGCATTACCAACTTCTAAAACACTTAAAATGGTTCTAATTAGAAATCCAGCTTGAAAGAGCACTCACTGATGGACTGGGTACTAGCAGAAGTAGACGTTAAGCTCAGTAGAAGAATAGGTGATCTAAACTTATAATATTTGATGGGAATGTTAGCTATCATTAGCACAGTATTAGCACCACGCTTCTTTGTAAATACGTCGTAGGGTTCTTTTGACGCTAAAAGGTGCTACGAATAGCAGCCGTTAGTACCCCAAATGCTAAACTTTTTTTACAGTGTTCTTCACTCAGCTGAGACGGAACGCCTCACTTTTTTGCATTTTTTTCGTTTTTTTTGTTGTTGTTGAAAAGACCAAAGTCTGAAAAATAAGTGGCCTAAAACCGGTGAGAAAACT